TATATAGGCCTCTTCAACTCTGGGAGCCCTGACAGACAGGATCAGAAACCCACATCCTAAATGATCTAAATTGTGTCAATGGAGGCGTAAAAACACCTCTGCATTAAAATATTTTTCCTCTCTCTCCGTGGTACCTCTAGGACACATTCGACTCTGAGAGCCTCATCACCCCACCCACTACCACTAGCAAGACTCGTCATCCCAGTGTGCCAGAGGGCCACTACATGAGCACTGACGTCACCAGTGATGTCATGTGCACCAAGTTCAGGGACATGCTTGACCACAGGTGAGTGCCTTTGATGTCCAGAAAAGAAGACTTTTGACCAATGTACTTATTTGTTTATCTACCCATTACATTGTGGTTTAGAAATAAGTTGTCTCATATCATTTCTGTTTAGTTGTGTGTGTTTGAGAACATCCCTTTTTCTTGTCCACTCCACAGAAGCCATTTGAGACTGCAGCAAATGTAGTTGGTTTTTTTTTAAAGATATGAAGGTATCAACTATTTTCAACGGGAGGTGAAAGTTAATTTGAATGTGAAAGTAAATTATTATTATGTTTCTTTATGCACTTTAAGACAGGAGATAAAATAAGATAATACTTCATTATCCCAGAGGTCCCCTGTCTTAAATAACCTCTGTATGATTTCACCATTTTCTAATCTTCTGCACTTTTATGGACAAATTGTGTTGCAGGTGCTATAAAATGCTTACTAAAACCAATCCAAACTATTATGTCCCTGTCCCATCTCAGATGTGTGAGTGCTGGCAACTCCCCTCGTCGCGGAGATGGTAGTCGGAAAGACTCGGAAAGTAGCCTGGAGCGAGAGCTGGCCATACTCAACAGAGAGATGGAAGAGATACAGGTGAGACCAGCTCCCTATATACATACTTGTATTTCTCTCCTTCTCCCTCTCTCTTTCTCATCCTCTCTCTCTCTCCATCTCTCTCTCTCTCCATCTCTCTCTCTCCATCTCTTTCTCTCCATCTCTGCCTGTCTGTCTGTCTGTCCGTCCGTGAATCCCCTCTCTCTCTTTCACTTCATGAAGTTTAAGAACTTTTCCATTAAAAGTGTTATATAATTTCTCAAAATGTTTTAACTGGATATTCTTTTGTACAGTAGTCTAATGCTTTAAAAAGTACCAGTTTTTACTGAGGATTAGAAAAAGCTAATAAAGTATGGTAATGTACAGCTTTTAGTTGAAAGGGTACTAGTGGATAGAGAAAAGAAATTGAAGAGTGGTTTTCCAAAATTCTGTAAGTCAGTTTTGACGAGCGCATGATTTCACCGCAATGCTACACACATACATAATACAAATGTATGTAAAGCATCGTGATGAAATCAGGCACTCTTCAAAACTGACTTACAGAGTTTTGGAGAACCACTCTTCAATTTGATTATTGTGTCATGTTGATTGATGGGAATGTTTCTTAAATGCTTAAAAAACTACTTTAAAACACTTTCTAAAACAAAATTCATGTCTTGTGTAGGTGGAATGTCAGGACCTGGTGGACAACCACATGCGAGAGCAGCAACGTCTGGCTGGCTTCAACGAATCTGTCATCCGTGGAGACACACAACGCAGTCCAAGAGTCGTACCGCGCATGGGCACCCGCCTCGAGTTCACCAAACATCCGGGTGAGACGTGGACTCAGAAAGAGGCCGGCATGGGCAGGAAGTCAGGCGCTAGTCCCAGCCAGACCGGCCCCCCGTCCCCGGCCTCGGCTAACGGTGCTGTAAATATAAACAACAATCTGATGAACGTGCCGCCAGGGTACTCCACGGCTATGAGCATCGCCCCAACAGGAGGCGCCAAGAACAATCTCCACAGCCCCAGTGGGCCACCGTCCGGCCTGTCTGCCGCCACTTCAACCTCTGTGTCCTCCTCAGTTTCGTCCACCATGTCGTCCTCGTGCCGCGGAGGGCCGGCCAGCTCCGAGTTCACCTCACACACGAACACTATCTCCAGCTCTAACGCCAGCTCAGGCCTGTGCGAGCGCGAGCGGGAGGCCTGGACCACCACAAGTGCCTACAACACAGGCGAGTCATGCCGGAGCACGCCCTTGACCCTGGAGCTGACCCCTGGTGAGCACGAGTACGCCGAGCCAGGTCTGAGCGGGTCAATGCTGTGCCTGGCGGCCACACCCTCCACCAATAGCTCTGGTACCGCTATCCTCACAAGCGACACGGAGAAGCAGACGCAGACGCCCACCAAGTCACGCGACTACTCGAGCGAGGACAGCGGGCACGTGCAGCACAACAAGGGTTCGAACTCTGCTCCCTCGCTGAAAGCCATGAGCATTGCGGAGAGCATGAAGGCCGGCCTAGCCCACCCGGCACAGCTCGGCGAGTCGCTGCAAGACCTTTATCTGCGCTGTGCTGACGTCATGTACACCAACAGAGCCAACCTGGAGCACACTATCGCTGTGCAACAGAAGCTTTTCCAACAGCAGCTGGAGCAGCAGTCACGCCTCCGCGGACACGCCCACTCCCCCGGACACTCCACGGGGAGTGGAAATGACGTTACTGTCGGTGAGGTCGCTGCTAAAAATAGTCCGGGCAACACAGCGCCGTCGGACAGTGGCCAGATGGAGTGGGTGGTCAAGCGACGTCCGGACGGGACCAGGTACATCACCCGCCGGCCTGTCAGGAGCAAAATGCTGAAGGAGAGAGCGAAGAAGATCAGCGAGGAGAGATGTGGTATGACAACTGATGACGATGCCATGTCCGAGATGAAGACTGGCCGTTACTGGTCAAAGGAGGACAGAAAACGTCACTTGGAGAAAGCAAAGGATTATAAGAAAAGGAAGGAATTGTTCGTGAAAGCGAAAATGGAGACGCTGAAGGAGACAGAAGAGAAGAAAGAGATGAACATTGTAGAATTGAGTCACCGGAAGATGATGAAGCATAAAGGGAAGAAGGTTTTTGATAATTTCACAACGGTGAAGGAGATGCTAGCACATGGGAACAAAGTCAGTGATGGTAAAACGTACAATCCTCTGCTGTCAGTGACCACAGTATGATGAACTGTCCAGATTTCCCTTCACCGCCTTGACTCCAGCGGTCAGGCTGCTCAGACAGAATCAAAGTCACATTGTTAGTTTTTTGTATAATCCAGAGAAACAATTGACTCTATCTGTGTCTGAGTAATGACATTGACAACCTATTTCTGTGGTGACAGGGGCCTGGTGCATTAAAACAGATTCTTTTCCAGTGTTCTTGAACTCTGAAAGTGAATAAGAGAAAGTTACGATAACAAATAATAAATTCTCTTTTTGGTACTACATTAATGTTTTACCCGAGTCAAGATTACTACATGGAAGGAAGCTGCCCCTGAAGGAGCCTTTGGGCTGTGCTGAAATGACAAACAGATAAACAAATGTGTTACCGTACTTGTGCTGTGTCCACTGAGTGGAGTGGTAAAAATCCAGAAACCTTTGTCTTACTGCTTACGATTTGTGGTTCTGAAACCCAGGTATTGTGTTAAGTTGCCCTTTATTATTTTGACAGAGACCCTCGAAGTTTTCACGACGGGAAAGAAACTATTCTGGTCTAATGCCATTGTTGGGTTCTTTTTTTCTGTGACAATGGGATTTTCAATGCATTGTAAACAAAGATATGCCCCCCGAGAACACTTTACATTTGAAACAGTGCTGAGAACAGTGTGTCCAACGCCTTTCTGGGGCCTCTTGAGTGGCTTTGACACTTCAGACATCCAAGTGATGACGTCATTCTTACCAAAGAATGGCAGAGGGGAATGAGTGTGCAAACAGACTGACTTTTGTTATTTATTTATTTGTTTTGATTGGGGTTTTTTCAGTTATTTTTCTCCACCCTGTGTGATGTATATTTGAGGGTATGCATGTGTGCGCGTGAGACAGAGGAAGAGAGGGAGAGAGAAGAAGAGGAGGGAGAGATGGAGAGAGAGAGAGAATGATAGAGAGAGAGAGAGAGAGAGAGAGAGAGAGAGAGAGAGAGAGAGAGAAAGACGGAGAGAGAGAGAGGGGAAAGCAAAAAGACAGATAGTATGACTGGCAGATGTATGTACCCAGCATTTTGAGAGTCGTATGCTATTTCCTGAACTTCTAGTCTTGGCTCGACTTATTTCACAGTCACCAGAGATTAGTAAAAAAAAGTAATTTTTTGTCAATTTCTTCTCGATCTTGATCTTAAGTACAGTGACAAACCACCACGATGAAACTATATTATTTCCTTACAAGGAGGAAAAGGGATGACAAAAAAATGTTTCTTGAAGTCTGGATTTCAAAAATAGTTTTTTAAATTTAATCCGATGTCGATTAAGATGTGAGACAGTGAGGGAGTCTCAGATGCAGTGGTGGTAGATTGAAACAGATCATTTTTTGGGGGGGGAGGGAGGAGGTCTGTCTTTGGGTTTGTTTTACTCATAGAAAAACATATCAACAGACATATATATATATATATTATTGTTGCTTGCAAACTTGAGGTAACTATGTCCAATTTTTTTCTTTTGAGAACAATGGGTTTTTATGCCAAAGTATAGTTAACTTGGAAAGGCTGCACGTAAAACACATCAGGAATTGTGATTGTGGTAAACTGCAAAATGTAGTTGTAGTTGGCAGATTGGTTTATTTACAGACATGTTATAGAGTGAGGTCTAATAACCTCAGTTTTACTACCGGTAGTTTTGGCATCTGGACAAAAGAAAGAAGGGACATAATTAGTTTTTGGCTCCCAGTTTACGATACATATAATATGGATCATGTGATTTTTATTGTCTGTGTAAAGTTTGAATATATCAGGAATTTGTTAAGTTATAAATTTTGAGCTTTATGTGCCTCCAAGCTTAATTGTCTGTGTTTGTGTAGAGAAAAAGTTCTGGCACACCTGAGTACTACCAAAAAGACAGAGAAAGAGAGGGAGAAAGGAAAGTAGGAGGGAGAGATTGATTTATAAGCAAGGACTAGGGAGGTGAACTCCGCACAGGCATTTCTTCCCCTCAATTTCATGAGCTAAGGACAAAATAACCACCGTTATTAAGTTCCAGGCAAGAGATTTTCGGAATACATGTACAGTTGAGTCCGCTTTAACCAAAGTCTGTGTGACAGCTGAATTTTCTTCAGTTTAGCAGGGTTTTCGATTTAGAGAGGCTGCTGAAATAGAAGGGAAAAAAAGGGTGGTTTCACAGTTTTCGGATTAATCGTGTTTGGTGTAAGAAGACTCAAATGTATTATGTTTTGTTGTTGGGCTTGTATCATAAAAGCGTTTGAGAAAACACGCGTCCTCAGTCACTTTGATTGCTAAACAGAAGCAAAACAATGGTATATAGGCCTACAAAGGCATCTGCTCAGCAGTACGTGCTTGTTGAATTCTAGGGATCCCAAGAAAAGTACCAGGAAATATATATATGTGAGGCATCGTGGTGAAATCAGGTGCTCGTCAAAATAATGAAACAGAAGATATCGGCATTTTTCTTCCTGTTTGGCAATTTTTTTCTAGATTTTTTTTTTTAACATCTTTTAACATCTTTTATAATGTCCATTTAAAAACATATTTCTGTGTGGATTTTACTGAAAAATATTTGATTAAAGGTACAACAAAATTTTCAGAACTCTCAACCTTTGAAAATCACCTAACTTTGGCGACATTTTTCTCACTAGTTTTACCTCTGAAACCAGGTGACCCCAACCTCCTTCAATTGCAAATATCTCGATTTCTGTTCAAGATAGACGTGTATTTTTTTTCATCAAAAGATGGCCGAATGAACAACTTTGAGACATTACAAATAACTCCAGATGCAGAAAAATTGACGAGCGCCTAATTCTACCGCGTCTTGAAACATAATATTATGTTTTCGTGTTCTAGAATGGAGTGCTTGTGACGAGTCAAATGTTGGTTGCCTGCAGTGGAACTTGGTGTTTATGGTATTGCAAGAGCTTATGAATGTTGGCTAGGTCTGTTTGACTATATGTACATACTCTACCTTTGAATTTGTTGTGCATTGGGTTTTTTTCTTTCTTTTTTTCAATTTTGAAATAGCTCCATAAACTTTGAGAAAACCGATGAAATAGCATTTGCCTTATGCTTCTGATGAATACAATTGTCTGTCATGTAATACATTCAGTGCAATATTAACTTACGTGTGGTCATGTCAGAAGAAAAAGTGGAGACGCTATTCTTGAGTAACTGTGTGAACTTGTTCCAGATGATAGGGGGAACCAAGGAAACAGGGGAGCTTTTTCCTCAAATTCATTATCTTTCTTACCCAACACTAAATACCAATAAAAATGTGGAAGTGAAATATCAGTTCTGCATTTGGGTAAAGACATTACTCTCAGACCGTGAAGCAGTAGGCCCGTATCATTTTTTTAAACTTGGATCTGATACACAGATTTTTATTTTTATTTTGCCCTATTATAATGACAATTTCCTCAATCAGGTGCGAAGGAAAAATGTAAGCACTGTCTAATCCAAATGGTTTCACATTCTTTTTTTAAGTAGAAAATATTCATAATTTACAGTGTAGCAACATTATGCTTCGGAAAGAAAATTAGTTTATAATGTTCACTGTTGGTGCAACAGGTCAAGTTTTTCTCTTCACCTTTTATATAAAACTCTTTTCTTTAGACAGCAAATGACTATGTTAGGCTGAAAAAAACCCAGAGTATTTCTATATTTGTGAGAAAACTCATAGGCCTACTCATAAATCCTTACCTTTCTCTCAGAATTATTACACTTTTGCGAAGACTATTGGTAATTTTTAGATGATATGGAAGATCTACAAGTCTAAGTAAGTAGTCTGAAGGACATTATGATAGACTGATTACAATTTGGAAATAAGCTCTTCTGTTTCCTACCCCTATATTTTGTTGGACTTACGTGCTGTAACATTGGGACAACAGTGTGAGATTTTAGTGAAATGTGAATGTGGAATATGAAATGCTACTGAAGGACAAGTTGTGTTCCTCTGTTAGCATTATCTTACTGTTGTCATAATGAACTTGGACATAATGTGTTGTTGGTGACGCGGAAGTAGCAAGAATGTTTGAAACATGTCTTTTCCTGGTAAACAAATCTCATAAAAGAATGATTTAAAGTTATTTCTACAGGACCATGCGACATTGAATGCTATGGACTTCTTTGGAAATCCAGTTTATAATCCACATCAGAACTTATGAAGAGTCAAGATATTCTTTCTTTGTAGAAATGAAGAAATGCTATCTAAGAACTCACATTTTGCAAGTTCATCAAATCAAGTGAGACAAATCTGTGTTCCATTCGCCATCTACAACATTATCATTTTATGTGTGTGTGTATGTGTGTGTGTGTGTGTGTGTGTGTGTGGATGTGTGTGTGGATGTGTGTGAGGATGTGTGGGTGTGCATGCATGGGCACAATGTGTGTGTAGCAACGTTCCACCATATCAACAAATCAATGAGAAATTTTCAACGAGATGAAATCATCTCTTAACATAAATTGCTCAGTCCAAGTTACACATGGTAAATTTAATGCTAGTTCAGTTCACACGAGAGATGACGCAGTAGTTAGGTGAATGATCAGTTGTAATTTTGGCTTTTTATTCTGGAAGCCGCCTTAGAGTTTCACACTTACTGTGATTTTGCTGTACTGTACATATGTTCAATGTCCGCGTTGCTACCTGCTTGACCACACTATTGCAAGTGTTCCTTACAAAGTCCATGGCCCGAGCTCTGTGTTTCTTATTTAAACATTGCAAGTGATGTGGCTTTGTGGTGTGCTGTTAACAGCACATGTTTACATTTATATTCATTCTAGAAATGAAACAAATTGTTTTTAAGTCGTAAATCAAATGAGCAATATCTGCTTGTTTGTATTAAATATCATATTTTGTGAGGCTGTGGATATTGATTTGATGCGCAAGTTATTCCACAATTCAATTTCATCGAGCTTATCCAGTTTACATAAATTTTTATATTTCTTTCAAAACATTTACAGAATTCATTCTAAAACCAGTGTCCCTTTCAAAGTGCCAGTTCTCTTGTTTCAAAATGTCAGTTCTTTCTTTTATCGTTCACACACAGAAAAATTATGGGTCTCCTGTTTTTACAAGAGAAAAGCTGCCTTCCTTTCATTCTCTCCTGATGAAAATATTGTTTCAAAATACTTGTCAGTGATTTTTGATTTAGGAAAGATGTTCTATGTACCCATCATGTATAGATTAGATGAACACAAGCCTTTATTTCTGCCTTCAAGTGACCATCATGGGATTGTATTTTTTTTTCTGAGGCTGACAAATGAGTACTCTGCTTTAGCAAAGCTGTACTATTCACCCTTCCTTGACCTTTTCAGATGAAAAACTTTGTTTATTTTTGCCTTGAGCCTGTAATAAACAAATAGAGAGTAGCACTGGATTCACACACTTGCTTCAAAAAGCAAATGTATGTTAGGTCCTGTGATTACATAGGCATAATCAACTGCAACAAACTGTAGAGGTTTTTAGAAATCTTCTTTCCTCCATTTGTAGCAGCAGGATTTATCATCACTGAGTATTGTGGAGTTCTATTTTAAAAGACAGTACCTCCAGTTTCATAAAATGTTCAGGAAAAGCGGAAGAACCCTTTTTCGCCAGTCGTCTCAACCGCCAGTCACTTTGAATATCTTCAGAACACTTTCCCCGCCTTATTTATTAAGTATATCAATACCAGAAAAAGGCAGAAATGTGCGCAGTGTTTTAAACTTATATCAGGTGGAGTCGATAACTGAATTTCGTCCAAAACCTGGATATACTGTCTTTTAAGATGAAACACCAGTATTGGAGTGTATCTCATTGTACATTCTTCACACACTGAAACATGAAGGACAATAAAAATTGCTTATTCGCATTAAACAGCTGTGTTTTGTTCTCATTCATCTTATTCATTCCTTGGTCTCCATACATTTGCACCCTGGAACTTAATCTATTTTGCATGTTTTTGTATTTA